TGCGCAAGAACTTCGTTGCTGTGGTGGTGACAGAGCCCTGGAACAGGCTGCCCAGAGAGGCTGTGGAGTCTCCTTCTCTGGAGATCTTCAAAACTCGCATGGATGCCACCCTGTGCCATGTGCTCTAGGTGTCCCTGCGTGTGCAGGGGGGTGGGACTAGATGATTTCTAGAGGTCCCTTCCAACCTCAACCATTCTGTGACTCTGTGAGGATACTTCCCAGACTTTACAGGTAAAATGATTATTAAATTATTGTGTAATTCAATAGACAATGTCACTTTTAGATCCCCTTTCTTAATGTCAGCCTCTGTGAAAATGCTGTTTTTATAATTCTTTTGCCTCTGCAGTTCATTTGCACATTGAAACTGCCACAGAAATACTTTTTCTGTATGCAGGAAATACAGCCACTTGCAGCACGAAATGACTGCTATTGGATGGGCCCCAATGTCACAAGGTTATTCTGTTAAATTGAAAGGTAGGAGAAATGTTTGAGGAAAAAAATAAGCTTGACTATTACAAGGATTGCGGGATAAGTTTAGCTTTAATAACTAAACTATCTATCTGATGTGTCTAATTTGAAATGCAGCACCCTCTCTTAAAGAGCGTCTTGCTATTAGCATAAATGTTGGCTCAGTGATACTTCAAGGGAAAAGCAGCAACTAGGGAGTTATCACAGCTTCCTCCTATAATACTTGAGTATGCCTTAGAGGCACCAGTACTAACAGAGCATCATATTTGTGAAAGGTGACAAAGAAAGCAGCATAAATTAGCGTGACGGAACAGTACACCCCAGGACTTACCAGGAAGGATGTTCAAGGAGTAGCTCTGGATGCTTAAATATTTCACGTGTGTTTTCCAATGGCAAAAATGCTTGCATAGCAGTTGCATGAATGCTGTATTAAGTAGTCCCATTTTCTTTTCTCTTTTCTGTTTTTAAGAAATTGCCTTGTGGCATTTCAGGTGCACACATTACCACAGCCTGAAAACAGCCTATATGTCTTATTATTTAATGGAATAAATTAAGCTAAGCAAACCAGAGATTTCCCTTTTAGAACGCCCCCTACTTACGTATCTTATTTTCATCTCTCACTGTTCATTAATACATTTACGTTCAGCTTTGGGCTGAGTTTGTGTAATATTAGTTATATGACTCAGAATATGATTCAGAATATGATTCAGAAGGCTTTTGAAGTTCCATACTGGAAGTAGGAGGAGGGGTGAGAGGAATCATTAACATGCATTCTGCCATCATCTTTAATCAATTTTAACAGCCTGAAAGTATTGCTAGTGATGGCAAATTCTGTCAAGAATGGAAAAGCACGCATGGGGAAATGGATCATAGCACAACTTGGGAGCTGTGTGACTGCTATATTGCATTGTAATTAGAACTCATATTTATCTGAACTTTCTTCTTTGCAAAAACTTGTGCAAATTTCAAATGAGCTAATAATAGAAAATTAGTACTCAGCTTTGCACTTCAGTATCCTCTGGGAACTCTGGACTGATTTAATTCAGCCACAAAATATTCAAGTACTGAAAACAACACATCTGCTTAATGACACGACCACTTGTTCAGGAAAAGAATGCAAAAACTATTAAAATAATTATTGGATTTAGCTAATTAGGATCTTTGGAGTTAAGACCCTTGCTCTCTCTCTTTTTCTTTCTCTTCCTCTTTATCTTTCGCTTTTCTAAGCTTTTCTGAGGACTCAGAATTTTGCATATGAGCAAGTACAATTCCACCTCTATTTCAGAATCGCTGTCCTTATACTCTTAGATCTGTAGACTGTAGAATGTGAACTTCAGACACTACCTTTGAATGGCACTACCTGGAATGACAGTGGTAGCTAACAGAGATGCTACCTGAGTCAGTCATGGGCTTGCAGTTCTTGGAGAGCAAGGCATTAACGTGGCAGAAATTTATTGGCAGTCTGAACTTTGTATCACTAAAGGCAAGAAGCAAAACTCATTTCTTTACCCGGACTTTTATTTTACAATGCTTATGCTTGTTCTGCACCAAATAAATGACCGCAACTCTTGTAGGCATTAAGTGATGGCATGAACTAGCTAGCTTGGGTTTAATAATGAAAAGAGTTCAGAACCATTTGTCTGTTTTTGTGCGTATCCACTTTCTATCATACTGACCACCCTGAGCTCTGTGGTCCAAAGGGTCCTGAGCTCCAAAGAATCCAGGGTCAGCCTCCTATTGCAGCATATGCTTCATGTCATGGCACTACTTGAAGCCAGTCTTGAATTGGCATCAGTTCTCACATGGGAGAGGAGAGCTATGCACATAGTGGCAATGTTGCTATGTGAAGAAAAAAACTGAGTAGGATGCAATCACATTTGAGGGTTTTAAAGGATTCACTCCTAAGTCTGAACTACCTTAAGCTGAGGCCACACATATAACATATTTATTCATTTCCTTCCCAGCCCTGCTACATGTTAAAGTGACAGGGCAGCATAGGGTGAAATCTTCTGTTTCTAGTCAGGGGAACCTCCAGTCACAGCTTTTCTCACCCATACTATACATTAAAGGTTTCCAGAGGTCAAACCAGGCATCTGGAGCCTGGAGCTCAGCAACCTAAGTCAAGATCTCCATCACAGAAGGACAGAATATCACTGGCCAAATTAGAAACATAGGTAACACATCCCTAATTTGTAGACTCTAACCTTCTGAAGTAAACCATTGTATGTGACATAATTCTTTCATTATTTTGTTTTTGCATCCTGACAGGATCACATGCACTAGCAAAGCTAATTTCAGGGGGAATCTTAAAGAAAAAATAATGTATACTTAGAATACTTTCCCTGAAGTACTTTGTTATTCTTCCAAGTAACTGGATTTACGAAAATCTAAGCCAGAAGCTGGCTTATGTGACTGGACTACATAAAAGCATGATTCAGCACAGTTCTTTTCCAAAGCAAACTGAATGCGCACTCAGATATGGAACATGAACCACAGGCAGACTAACAGATGTGGCTGAAGATGCAGATATAGAGTTAGAAGTTCATTAAGCTTCTCAGTGAATTTGGAGTCTAATTCATTCCTCAGAGTCAAGGCAGGAAACCTCTCCACTTATTGTCCCTAATACTGAAATTTGCATTAAACTAATTTTATATATTTGAAACTATTGGTAAAATTATACCTCTACAACAACTAGAATATCATTTTGCAATCAGGGAGTCAGACTGTGTCCTTCCTTGGGAGGAACACCTTCACATTCCCTTTTCCCTTGGGGAAGATTGCCTGGAAAGGGGTCTTTGCTCCCTGGGCCAGGGACGTCTTTAGGTAGCTGCAGCTGGCAGAGTCCTTGGAAGCACAGCTGGAGCGTTACTGGAGAATCCTCAGGCTATAGCTCAATGAGTACTTCCAGTTGGCATCAGTCTGCCCTGCTGCAGGAAGAATTGGTGGCCTTGTCCCCTTCCTCTGTCTGCCTGTTCCCATTTCCACTTTCTTACCTCCCCCTTGTGCTGGAACAAACCATATAGTAAAATGAGCCAGGGAGCTGACCTGCACTTAAATTAACGCAGCAAAAGAAACCAGCTGCTTTCCAGTTGGATCTGTTCCTGGTTAGCCGGTTTATCAAGTGGCTGCACAAACCCTTGCTCGTGCAGCAGAAGGAACAGCACAGGGACTGACTGAAAGTAGCAGCCGCATAAAATTGTTGCTTAGGCTGCCGCAAGGTGCTCATTGAATTCAGCCCAAGGGCAAAACTAAACACAAGGCTGAGCCGCCAGGTTATAGCTGCTGAGTTGGGCTGTCTTGCACCTCCTCCTTTACCCTCTGTGACACTGCACAGTCACAGGCCCTGCCTTATGCTGCCCTAGACACTCATCTGAAATGCACCAAGATGGATTAAAGTCACTTATCTAGCAAAAACAACAACAACAACAAAAACTGCACTTTTTGCTAAGTTGGTTTTCTGACATCTTAGGACTTGAACTGACTTGCCAAAGGTCCCAGCAGACTACCACCAGAATTGCTAGTTTTGGAGAATTACTTAGTCATGGAGAGCAAAACTGGGTAAGAATGAAGAGCCACGAGCCTCTTCATGAGAGCAGAAGGTGCCCTTCTGCTGGTGCTAAACCATGAGGCTGGTTGCAGACAGCATGTGTACGTTCACTCCTCATACTTCAGATTTGGCTCAATCTATTCATACTTCACTGGGAGCCTTACATTAGTCAGGATACAGGCTGCTCTAAAGTCCTGATGTTCTTAAGAAAAGAGTATTCACACCTAGTGAATCAGACTGTGAGTTCAGTTAAATATGAAAATAAAATACCATGCTGGGGTGTTTCTTTAATTTTAGTGTTCTCTGCCTCTACTCTAAAACAATCTTAAAATATTCTAAAATAATCATTTACATTGGAAAATACAGAGAAATAGTCAACATGTATTGCATTTCATTTGAAAAACAAAGAAAGATCTTCCACTGCTGAACAGCAGAGCTGCACCTGAGGGGAGAGAAGTTTTGGGCTGTTGCACTACAGACACCAATTTCTTATGGAAATTTACAGGTATTTACTCTCACTTGAGTCAAATGACTTTTATATAAAATGGAAAACAGGAAGCAGAAGGGTGAGTCATCAGTATATGGATGTAGGTACCCTCCTGCCTACTTCTCCACTGACTGGTATTAGATGAAAATGTTATTATTTATATCAATCCATTTTTAATTATTTCTAGTCTGCTTATGAAGCTTAGATAATATGAGTATTGAGAACCTCTATATTACCTGGGATGCACATTTTGTTCACATATATTACCTCTATATGACAAAGAATTATAGGATTCCAGGCTTAACTAGAAAAGATGAAGCTTTTAAAGTATTTGTTTAATGAGTTTTCCCCAGGAGATATTTATTTCACTCTTCTCTGAGCAAAAAAAAATATTTTTGCTGCTTAAAATCCAATACTAACATAACTAAAATGTCCAGGTAAAGATATCATAATCATCCACTAAAGAAAGACTGTGGGGGAGGAAAATCGATATTTCTGATGGCAGTTCCACAGATAGCTCTGAAAGATTTTTATTCCTGGCTATTTTGAAAACATTGGAAGAAATCTGTGGAGGTTCAAGTTACAAACATCAGAGACAATTTACAACACTTTGGGGTCAGGGCTGTAAATACAGCTCTTGGTGAGGTCACACCTCACCAAGTAAGTGGGGAAATTTTTTTCCATAAGGAAGAGGCAGATTTGTCTGGAGCCTATGGGTTCCAGGACCAGAGGTATTTCTACAGTAATTGCTTCTATCAATTTGATGAAGACATGGCTAAATTTGACCTGATCATAATAAAAGATTTCTTCACATGGCCATGGTATCACATTATCTATAGAAAAAAAAAAAGAACAACAATCTGTATCTCTTTTTTTCATTTAATTTACATTTAGTCTAACTGTAGATGTTCCCATGATCCATCTAAAGTTCTTTTGGTAATATTAATGATATCATAAATAAGAACACAGGCACTTGTGTTAAACAAACTTCTGGCAGAACTTTCTCTAGATCCCCAGAAATGTCACTCAGCATTCCTAAATTATCAAAAAGATATAGAGACTTCAAAAGTTTTTACAGAAAGGATGATTGGGTGTCCTCAAGCCTAAGAAAATTCTACTTTGTAAAGTGACAGGCTTTAAAACCAACTGTAAATATAATATATAATAAAGGAGACTTACCACAACTATATATCGAGGCCTAAACTGGATGGTTCCAAACAAACCCAAAATGACAACTATTATTTGTAGGAAATTGCCAAGGATAGGAGCCCATTGGAAACCAAGGAAGTCAAAGATCTGTCTCTCTAGTGCTGCCAGCTGTAAGAAAACAGATAAACAGAACATCCACTTTTTAATGATGAGTGATTCAGAATACTACTTTTTTTAATTTGTATCATTGTTTGCTCCAGGCTTCACCAGACTGAAGCATGGCAAAATTCTGGAAACTATGAATGTTGGGTGTATTCTTTATCAATGTTTCTGTTACATTAGTCTCTGAATGTAGCTGCTAGTCAGCATACAGATTTCCTAGTGATAAAGCACTGAGAAAAGCTTTAATTCAAGAAAATATTTGTAAAACTATCGAGTAATATAAAATTACCTCACAACCCAAATATTGTCAGGTTTTCTTTTATCCTGGTATGTTGGAAACTGCATGGCTTAAAAGTATTTATTTAAATACAAAATTTGCCTAAGAGAGAGGTTCGCTTAGAGCCAATTCAAGTGAACCTTGTTATAGTTACTGAATTATCATCCTGCTCCTTCCTTCTCCATGTCTGCATTTTCTTATTTCTGAGACACAGTCTCAGACTGATTGTGAGTTTTCCTTGAAAGCAGATATTTTAGCCAAAAAGGGCAGAGAAAGTTCAGCAGAATCCCAGATCTGCATATGGGGGTATGTTTATGGGAATTCCCTAGCACAGGAATTGAGGAAGACTGCTGGAACTGAGGCATGGAAGCAAGAGGAGGGAAGGAAAGGCTGCACAGCACTGCAGAAAGCTGGAAGACCTTGGAGGAAGGTCCTCAAAAATTGCCAGCCTGAGCGCTATCTGCAGGCTGCAGAGGGTTTGAGGCATGTGAGAAAGACACAAGGATGATTTACTGGCGCCCTCCCTCCTGCTCCTTACCCTCTGTACATGGGGAGTGGATTTATTTGGGTGTCAAAGGGGAGGGAGCTAAGAGGCAGCAGCCTTCCCCGCCGCATCAGCAAGTAGTTCAGCAATTAAAACGTTCCTCTTGCCCATCCCTTCTGGCAGTTTTGAAACACCTCTGCATCAGTGGCAGCATTATGATTTTTCTGTACACTCATTTCCTACTCAGTTTTGACCATCCAGCCTATTGCTCCACAGATACTGAGATCAACTTCCCTGTGGCACACTTGAAATTTAAACTTAGTTCAGTATTTTTCTTTCTTTGACAAGATATTTTTGAGCAGCTAAACAGAATACTACTGTGCAACCACCGAATTTCTATTCTTGCCAGAATTTATTACACTTCTAGTCGATTGTTGCAGATTTTAAAATTTACTAAAATATGTACTTAAAATATTTATAACCAAGACAGATGGAGTATGCACGGCTCTATGAATACCAACTATTACCATATGTGGGCATTTCACAAACATTTCATTTTACACATAATGGGCAGATTCAATCCTCACTTGCAAGATGTGGATTACACTTGACTTACAAGAGGTGTAGCTGACACACATCCTTCCTGTACAAAGATCATTTTATACATCTGTAATGAAAACCTTATTCTCTATGCTGGAGCTAACAAATATGATCAATGTAAACAACCAAATGAATCATCACATAGACTGTTAAGATTAAAAGGATGTTAGCCTGTTGGCCACAAAAGATGCTACTTTCTTAAGAGAAGCAATCTCATTCTTTTTGTTTCAGCAGGTAAGGGAATCTCAAAGAGAACAGCACTGCAGGTGAGTGAAGCTGTTGACTCGTGTGTCATCAGTTTCTAGTCTTCATTTGTTTGCTTCATACTCTGACCTCTCTTCTCCTTTACTCATGGCCCTGTATCATCTCTGTCAATGATTAATTGTCTTCCTTAAGTAGACAGAGAACAAACACAGAAGCTACTAGCCGAAAGCAGAAAATGACATATTTAAATGGGCCTGGGTGGAATTTCAGTGCCTAATGTGATCCTGGTCATTACCTTGTCTAAAAGCACATTGGTCTTCCTAACACAAAAGCAAGCACCTTACCGTCATTTTCATAATGTGTTCACCCTATAGCAGGTTCAGGAGCACTATAGTAGCAGCCTACTTGGGATTTCACCAGGAAATCCACAGAATCACTCAGTCTTTCAACCACTCTCCAAATGGGCTCTTTCAGGCAATTTTGATGACAACATTTGTGAATATCCGTGTAGTTTCCCTAAACCAGAGGATGCATCACACAGCACAGTGCAACACAGCCCCAAGTCCCATGCATGATATGGTAGAGAGTTTCAAGTACTCAATGTACCAAATCTCCCATGTCCTATATCACCCGGGAATCTCTTTTGTCACATCCCTGGCCAGGGCTAAATCATGTTTTGTTTCTACCACTGCAGGGGGAGATTTTCTGGGGTCAACAAGGCACCACATCATTCACGGCCCAAGTTTTTTAGACCATCTGCCTCCCCCTTTCTTTACTGCAGCCCTGACATTAGCAAATGACCCAAGAATAGAGTTGTCAAATTGGTCTAGGATCCACTTATTGGCCACCTCTGTCCCACTGAGACTCCCACATAGCCAAAACTATGTCTTCCCCACACTAAAAAATTGTCTGTGTCCTGGCATACTGCAGACATCAGAGACAACTGGCTTAGAATTGCCTCCTGCTCTCTAGTGAAGTGTCCTTGCCTCTGAAACAGGGTGGTTGTGGGCAAATAACCAGTTCAAAATTGTCCTTGCATCGTGGGGGTCCATTTCAGGAGACTGCTGTTTAGAACAAGCCTAGTTAACATGAGGAAGCATTCTCAGCACATGCAATGGCAAGCCACTGCTTGGCTGCCTCCCCAGGCACATTTGAAATCGCTCGTGTAGAGAGCATATGGCTCTGCCAGAGCAGGAGTGAAGGACAGTCATTTCACACAGATGGTTTGCTGCAAGAGATGGCTTCTCTTAAAGATTTTTTGCAGTATTGAAACACCTACAGCAGTCTGAAAGACAAAAGTCTGCAGCACAGACACGAGCGAAGCCATATAGTGTGCATCCCTCCTTAATCTGGTCCTTAGGAAAAGTCTCTCTGAGTTATGTAGATCTGGCTTGACCTGTATGACTCTGAAGTGTTTTAATGCCTTGAAACACATATTACTTCAATGCCAACCACTTCACTTTTCCAACAGACCAATGCTAATGGGCCTAGCAGTCAGCTCATGACTCACTTGGACCAGAAGCAAGGTTTGCCTTCATGTGTATCTCCCTGATTTCTGACAAGCAAGCTCAGAGAACACCAAACAGCACTGCACTCCCACAAAATATAATGGTGGCTGCAAGTCTTTTCCCAAATATACAAATGTATATATGTATACATACACATAGAAAACAAAATTGAGCCCTGTTATGGGTTACAGTGGCTAAGGCACCTATTTCAAACACAGAGCAATGAGGTCCAATTTGCTCTACTGCTGCCTACTGAGGAAGTACCCTAGAGTACCAAAGGGAACAGCTTCTTCTTGAAGCTGTGTCACTGGGGGAAAAAAAAAGTTAAAAAAGAGAGTACAAGCAAAAAAGTGAATCTACAGTCTACTGCTTAGGGGACTTATCTGAGATTCAGAGACCTGCTACTATTTCTTGCCTTCAGGACTCTTTTTTATTTTTATATACAGTGACAGCATGTAAAATACAGAAAGAGTCCTGGGAGCAGGAAGCCAAACATATAGCACCATTCCTTTCTCACTGACAAGTGCTTGCACCATTGGGCTATGCAGTACGACTGTCTTATGCAGCTAAGTCTCATTTATTTTGTTCTTGTCGCCAAGACAGAGTAATTTGTCTCACCCCTGAAGCCCACAGAATACATTAGTGGAGAAAAAAAAAACTTAAAGAAAAGAGAGAGGTAGGAGGCAAGTCTATCCTGCTCAAATTACTATTTTATTCCAAATTATACAACCTTCTTGCAGACACTGCAAATAGAAGTTAAAAAAAAACCCTAATAATTCATGATAATGACAAAGGAAACATATTTAGTTCTGGTTTCATTATAACATGAGGAATATGTAATGAACAGAGATAATACAAGTGCTTCTGTTCCTTTTTCTGGTATTTTACCCAAAGGAATCTCCAAACAGAGGTTAAAGCCACAGACCTTTCAGCTTTGTGCAAATGAATACAAGTAACCTCCAACCTAGTCTATGATTTAATTAATTGCACAGAAATAAACAGAATGGGATGGGCATAGGTTACTGTGCACACAATAGCAGACTGTCTTTACACAGACATGAAGAGTTAGTAATCTGGCTATTATAAGGCTATAATTGACCACTAGATTACTATAGTTATCAAAACATTTTGACAATAAAGAGACTGGTTTTTTTCCAAATGTAATTTTCCCTTAACGAATTTCTGTTTTCATCACCATCACCAAGGCAGAGGTTTCCAAAATTAGCTGGCTCAAGTTTCATGGACAGAAGATAGCTGTAAGTTAGCAGGGTAGAAGTTGCTCGATTGGTGAGATGGGGTGTATTTTGATGTGACTGAGGTACTGTGGTGGGTTTACTGTTTGGTAGAAGGCAGTAAAGAAGTCACATCACTTTCTGAGCAGGCACATGTGTTGGTAAAGGCTAGCAGCTCCAGGACTAGTGGTAGACAAGCCAACAAATTCTCTCAAAAACTGTTGTTTGTTGTTGTTATTTAATGATTAACATAAAGGGGGTAAAAATACCCAGAGCTCTCTTGCAAATAAAAGAAGAGGGTCTCATGTTTGAAAATTAAGTATTGGGAGAATATTGTCCAGTTGTTTACAAAAAAAAAAATCATGAGAACTTGTAAAAACATTGAAGTTGATCAGAAAGAATATTTTCATATCATAACAATGTTTGGAAAAGGAGAAATAATATTCCTTATTAGTGCTCTCAAAGAAGTTACAAAGTGCCCTGTTATTCATCATCAACCTCAGAAGTGCTACAACTCAGGAGATTGGCACTACCAGTGAAACACTCTACTGGGACTGTATGAGTTCACTTAATGCCACATTTTCTATGTTATTATTTTACCTCTTTGTTTCACTGAGTCAAGATGTGCCACATTTTCTATGTTATTTTACCTCTTTGTTTCACTGAGTCTATCAGACTGTCCCTGTGTCCCTCGTTTAGTGGAGTGCAAGGAAAGGGTACCAAGAAACCGCAAAGTAGGCTTCCTCCTCTGGCCATGGGCAAACCTTTTTCTGTTAAAAGCAAGAGGTTCGGGTCAGCCAACTTGTCTGAATTTTGCACTTTTTCACATTAGGTAGATAACCAGATCACCTTTACAGTAAGCACACCTGGGAAAACTTAAAATACGTCTGCAGTAGCCATGGTGCCCCATATGCTGCTTGTGGTGCAGTAGGAATAAAATAAGGGGTGAAACAGCAACCAGAAATGCTCTACAGAAATAAATTGTCAAGATATTCCTGGTGAATAGAATAGTGTACAGTAGGATCAGTAAGAGCAAGTTCCACCCAATTGCCCTTAGGGAACAACCTCTCAAAAGTGAACAAAACCCTCTCAGAAATGCTCAGGTCCTATTATACTTTCGAAACTCATATTAGAAGCTGAGTGATATGTCACCACAGCAGAGTTAGGAAGTCAACCTTTCAAAACGAGTGTAAAAACTTAATTCCCTCTTCTGTCAGGAACCTCAAGGAAAGTGCTCAGTTTTATGTTTCAATAGAAAAGCTTTTTGTGTAAAGGAGACATTAGTTTAACAGGAATAAATAGATGCACACCTTTCATAGCAGAAATTTACTGGATCACAAAAAATATTTTTCATATGTAAAGAAATTTTTTATACAAGGGAAGATTTTTAAAAGGCTTAAAATAAATATAAAATATGAAATATCTTCATATAAAAATAAAAGTTTATGGCATATAAAAAGATCTGTAAATCTGATACCATATAAGTTACTGAGTTTACAAGACTGGGAAGGTATAATCACCTCTGCATTTACTAACAATATTAAATAATCTTCTTCAGCCTGTCAAGCAAGACAATAAGTACACAAAACATGATAAGTCCAAAAATTATAGCCTAAGGGACTCATTTTAAGCTCAAGTCAGGAATTACCTAAAAAAAAATGAATTATGCATGTATGATTCCATTTTGGCTGATAATACTCAAAATTAACAGAGGACAAGTTCTAAGGCCCAGCTCATCATACATACTAATTAATGATTCTAAAGGCAAGATTTGCTTTTTCTTGAGTCATGTTTCATGGAGAAAATATTTTTGTAAGCTTGGGGTAAATCCACAGTGTTCACATCTTTCTGAATTATTTTGGAGAAGAAGCACGCTCTAATTTAAGGGAAACAATATCATCAAAAAGATTTTAAACCAGTCTGGGTAAACCCACTACTGTAAAATAAAATATTGATTTATTGAACACTTAAATCCAGAAACCCTAACCAAGGACTAAAAGCTGAACCGAGAAGTAGGGGAAAAATATAAGTGAGGTCAAAGATTGACCCATAAAACATAAAATGCTTTTATATGGATCCCATACTTTCGCTTCAGAATTTTACTGACGTACTCAACTTCAGTAAGAAGGAACATAAGATTTAACATAAAAGAAATGCCAGGTTTATAGTAGAGGAGTGGGAGGGTGGCATCAGATGATCACTCTTGACTGAAGTACATTATTATAGGAAATTACTGTCCCTCTGGTAAAGGTTAGACCTTCCTTACCTGTGAGTTACCCACTTCTACAAGAGGCTTCATAGCTGAATGTTAAAATTTTACTTAGAGTACTTCTTTATACCTTTATACAGTGACAGTTAAAGCAATCATCTTACCACAAAGCAGATTCCTGATAGATTTTTAATCATCTGAATTCACTTGTCCAGGTGAAACTGGGGTGATTTTAAGATGGTAATCCCTTATAATAGCTGACTAAATACGTTTATAAGATTATGTGGCATGAAGGTTTTTGAAGGAAGGTTTTGAGTAAACCACTAATGTTTGTAGTAAGTTCATTTTCACAGGACGAAAGAGAACTGCCAGCTTTCTGACAAGTAATTGTCAAAGAAAAA